TTGATAAGGAAATGAAAAAATGAAATAGTTATTACATTACTAAGATTTTAATTGGTTAACTGAGTTTCTTGTTAACAATTAGGGCAATTTTTGATATTTAGGAATTAGGATTACTGTGCAGATTGTCGAGTTCGACCTGGGTGGGTTTTCTTTTGCGTTACCACTGGCATGAATTGATCATCTTGGGGAGATGCAACCAAATTTGACATGACAAATTTTAAAATCACTTGAAAACACAGGAAGAAGTTGTTCTTCGATTTCTCTTCACACAGGGACAGGGATGGAGCAAAGATGAGAGATCGGGGGAGAGTATAAATTAATGTTTGACTGCGGGGAAGAAGGAGAAATTGACGTCGAAACAATTAGCGGTCTGGTCGCTCTCTCCGGCAGAGATTCAGAGTGATGGGCGAAGTGTGAGTAAAATGTGGGTGGAATTGAAGAGGAAGCTGCACTTGGAGCAATATGGCGTTGGGAAGTCGAGACTTGGAAGTTAGTATAGTCCTGAAATTAGGTTTATTTGTCTGGTGTTTATGGAGTAATAATCTTTCTTTCGTCGTTATCTCGATTGTGCAAACACCACAATTTTATCTTGTACTATTCAATTATTTTATTTTATTTTTTTGACACAAATGTGCCAATTTAGATAAAATATTATTATTGGTTATTGTTATAAGATTTGATGTGACTGTATATATGCGCGTGTGTATATATATATATATATATATATGATATTTTGACTTTATATATACTCTCTTCATTATAAAATACTAATAAAATTATTTTTATTAAGTTATCTTCTTTTTTACTATATATTAATACTATATTAATATTAAAAAATTCACATTAAAATGTAATCGAATGTTTGTTTAAGGGACGAAAAGCATGGAATTTTGAATTGAATATTTATGTTTTTTTATCACATAATAAATATATATTATATAATGAAAATATATCAGTAAAACAATTATCTGGAAGAACAAAGTTTATTTCCTCAATTTTATTTTATTTTAATTTATTTTTGGAATAGTTAGTTAAATTGTTTAATTTTGATAATTTTTTAGTTTTTTATTTTTTTTTTGTTGGATATCACTATTAGAAATTTAATAAATGATATAATAAATAATCTCATAAATGTTTTGGAAGTTGTTTTGACCTGATGGTGTGGACATGCACTCGTGATCATAAAGTAATATATTCAAACCCCAAACACCTAATAAAATATTTTTAATTAAGTAGTCTATTTTGTGACTAATGTTATTAATTAAGTAGTATAAGAAAGTAATCAGTGTCAAAATTTCTAAAAATTTATTATAAATTAATATATATTTTAATTTAAAAAGTGTGAAATTTTAAGAAGTTTTTGAATCAATTTAATTAATTAAAATAACTTATGTATTTTATAGAACATTGGGTGTGTTTGTTTTGTTTTTTGAGTTTGAACTATATTTTTATATTAGGTATTAAATCATTATGTATTTAAAGTGTTTTTTTATATTAGGTATTAAAACATTATGTCATTAATTTAAAAAAAAATATTTAGGTAAATATATTTATGTATATTATATTTTTTTAATAATATTAATTGAGAAATTTTTTTTTTTAAATAAAAAACCCATCCATTATTATTTTTTACAATAATACATATAATTATTTAAATTAAAATTATTTATGAAATAATTCAAAAATTTTATAATTTTTTATTTTCTACCTTTTTGTTGTTCTCCTTACTCATTTCCTTCTTCCTTCTTCTTTTTCGGTGCTCATCTATCTTCATCATCAAGTGTCGTTGCATTTCCTTCTCATTCCAGTCTGAAGTGGTTTTGGCATCGAATGAAGAAATTCGAGAACTCAGTCTCTATATTCAATCACCGAAGGAAAAAGACAAATACAAAAGTATATACAAAACTAATTGGGGCCACTGTTGGAAATTGCAGGAGGGTATAAATTAGGGTTTGAATATGGGAGAAAAATGAAAAATTGAAGGTCGAAAGGATGGGTGGTCTGGTCTAGTGCTGATTCAGTGTGATAAAAGGGTGAACTGTGATAATAGGTGGGAATGGACAAATTAGATTTGAAGGGTGATAAAAGGTGATAAAATGGTGAACTGTGACCAAGAAGTTGAGAGGTGCAGAATACAAGTTAATTAAAATCTTGAAATTAGATTTGTGTTATGTTTGATCTTTGGAATCATGAACTTGTTTATTTTCAAAAGAAGGCAACTCTGACTTTGAGCTTAACAAAAATTTCTCACACCCAACTGATTTACTTTTATTTCTTGATTGTATTATATATATATATATATATTTCATAGAATATTTAGACTATGTTTCATTGCAAATAAAATATTATTATTGGTATAATATTGTTGTTATAAGATTTTATATGTCAGTGATACTTTGGTTGTCTTTTAATATATTATATAAATAATTTATATTACTTTTATATTATTAAATATATTCAATCTAAATTTCCTTAAAAAAATATGCTTCATTGGTCCATTATTTATTTATCTATTCATTTTATCACTTTGTTATGTTCATGAAAAATTTATTCATTTTTTAGTAATTATCCTTATATCACTTAAATATAAATATTGTTGTATTTTACATATTATTATAAAGAATGTTATAAACAAATGAATGTAAGTGTAAAAAAGACTTATTATCCTTCAATTGTATTATTTACTTACCAAATATTAATATTTAAAAATCAACATGTAAAAAAAAAAAAAAATAGATATATAGCAAGTGAGAGGGGGATATTATCTTAATGAATAAATTATGTAGAAAAAATCTAAGATATCACTGATTTTAGTAAAATCAAAAGAAATATTCAAATAAATAGAAGTAAGAGTAAAAGTAAATTAAAAATTATATGGGGATCATATACATATATTATAAATATTAGTTTTTTTTTAATTTAATTTTAACACAGTTTGTTTTAAGTGATATATTCTTTAAGAGTTTTTTAATTTTTCATCTTTATTTATTGTTGAGTATATTTTTTTATAATTTTTTTTTTTGGGTGTAGAATCGAAAAATTATGTGTAAATAAATAATTGAAAATTTTGAGGATGTCTTAAATTTTAATTTAAGTAAAGTATATAAATTAAAAATAATAATATAATTATATTCTTAATTTTTTATTAAAATATAATATATATATATAAAGTAATTATTTTATATTATATTATCGTATTTTATTTATTTATTTATTTATTATTATTATTATTAAAAAAATAAAATAATAATTTTAATTGAAAAGTGTTTCTACTTATTTTAGAAGTTACATTTAATGTATTTTTGCAAAAAATACTTTTCACTTTCAAAAACTTCTTTTGCAACATAAGTCAACGCAAACAGATACAAAATATTTTTTTCGAAGCAGAAGCCAACTCAAACGGAACCTTATAATAATAATAATAATAATAATAATCATAATAATAATAATATTTTAAGAATCAATCAAGATATCTGATAATAGATTTTATACTGTACAATTTATACATAATTTTCCATTAAAATTCAATAAAATCAACGGACTCTTAAAGTGTATGGATTGTTGAATACATGAAGATTTTAAAAGAGTGTGAATTGAATACCTCCAAATTTTAAAAGACTTTTGAAGTTTGGATTGAATACACCTCAATTTTAAAAGTCCAACAAAATCTTACAAAATCTTAATTGAATACACCTCCTACATCTTGGTTCTTTTTTCGAAAGATTAGATCTGGTAGGTATTTCTCGTATTCTGTTTCGAGAGCATTCAGGAGTATCATTCTTATTCTTATAATAGAATATATATTTTCAAAGAAATATATTTCTTGATTTTATCATCATCAGATCAAATATGTCGGAGCTTTGAGTCGTGAATCCCGGCCTTAGGCAAACACCCCACATACTTTGGGGTATTTGTAGAAAGACTTATAGCCTTTCCAAAACTTGAAATGATCCACATCCTTACCTTTTAAGAGAATTTTATTAAAAGACAATTGTTAGAAGGTTCTTGGCCTTTACACGACTTAGAAAAAGCTATATTCTTACCTTTTGGAGAAATTATAACTTGTCATCAACACGGCTTCCCCCGCATGTCCTGAGGTATTTGGTAGAAAGCTCATGCCCTTCCTATAACAAATAAGGAGTTACGCCCTTATTTTTATGAAAATAACTTACCATCAATAAGGCTTCCCCTCGTATGTTTTGAGATAATTTAGAACTCACTAATAAGATATTATCCATGTCCTTCAATGTTAATTTTTTGCATCTTGCAGTACCGTTCAACTACTGGGAATGTATTCGCAACTCTTATTGATTTGAATCTCTTTGATTTGAATGCTAGGTTAAATGCTTCAAGAGCTTCATCTTTGCTTCTGAGTAAGTAGAGGTAACAATATCAAGTACAATCATCTGTGAAGGTGATGAAGTACTTTGTACCTCCTCTAGTTTGAGTGAACTTTAAACCACACACGCCAAAGTGAGTTAGTACTAGAGGCAGAGTGTTTCTTTAAACATTGGAGAATGGTTGTTTTGTTGATTTTGCTTCAACACAAACCTCAAAATTTTGGTTGTTACCGAAAGTCATCCCCCTTAATAAGTCACTACCAAAAAAAGGGCTATTCACCACGGGTTGAGAGTCCGTAACAATAAAATCGTAACAAATAGATATATTAGTTACGACAAAATCCGTGACGAAAAAAAAAAAACCCGGTCAACGTTTTAGGTTCTGTCGTTACGCAAAAAATATCGTAACAAATAATGAGATGGTAGAATTTGGTCAAAATAACATTAGTTACGTAAAGTGTTCGTAACTACTGGTATTTAATTTTTTATTTTTGGAAAAGTTAAATTAAAAAAAAAAAAAAAAAAAGTAAAATACTGGATTGACGCTTTCATTCCAGAAACGATCAAAATGGACAAAAACGCTATATCATCCCACACTTAGACAAATTAGGGCATCTGGTTCATTTCCCTCGTTCGCTTCTCACAGTCGCCCGCGATTCGATTTCCTGTAGCTGCCGACGACGACGCGCGAGGTGAAATCGATCCGTCCCTGGGATCTACTCCGGCGCACCTCACCCAGGTAAGGTTTTGAAGGTAGCTCGAAAAAGATTTTGTATTACGCGAGGTATCTTCGACAAATTAGGGCATAATCTCATTTCTCCCTTGTAGAAAACTCGATCGAGTTTCCTTCCTCTGAACCTGCAGGACGACGAGCATTGTGAAATCAACGGAAACGAGGGATCTACTCCGGCATCTAGGTAAGGTTTTTAAGTTTTCTCCCGAAAGATTTGGTATTACTCCAAAGTTCTTCGCCTCTTTCTCGGTATGGATATAGTCTTACATTTTAACTCCATTTGTTTGGGCTTTATCGTGTGTTACATTTGAGGTGAATTTGTATTCCTTTGTCCAGAAGGAGAGTTTTTTTGGTTGAATTTATTTTTTTGATATTTATCTTTAATTTATAGTTAAACACCAAGTGCAATGCTTTACTGTATGTTAAATTTATGAGGTATTTCTTTGTTCTGGTAGCTTAAATGTTAGATTAAAACATATTAGCTCAATCCTCTTGCTAATTTGTTCAGAATACAAAGTAATACATTACGTCAGGAAACTTAATTCGGCTGTTGGGAAGCATTTAACAAGATTTATGAATTGCGAAATACCTCAAGTTGCATGCTTCTTGAATTGCAGTTCAGTTTTCTGATCGTAGGTAATTTACTATCAGATTTCGTTATCCTGCATTTGTAGTATGCGTATACACATACAGTCACCCATACATATATTCATTATAGCATTTCTATAAATTAAGGATAAAATCCAGGGCTTATTTACACTTTGCATTGAGAGTAGGGAGTAGAGAGTAGAGAGTAAAGGATGAGGGCGAGAGTAGTAATGTGAGAAGAAGATGATGCAAATGCAGTTTTGGTGGAAACAGATACAGTGAATCTTGTGGCTTTGGTGCTGTGTACTATTCCTATTTGTATCCCTCTAATTGGGGTAGAGAGCCATTTCTGTACCTCTATATATATATATGTATATCTATCTCAAAATTCTTATAGTACACGTCTTCCATCTCAATCTCCATCTTCCAGTCCCATATAGATAGATAGATAGATAGATATAGTGGTTGCAGCATACACACGGATGTCCCCCCCATGCTCCCCATGTCTTGTCAATTTCAGAAACTTTTTCACTTCTTTCTCACTCTCTCTTGCTGCTGATGTGTCTATTTGTGACGGCCCAGCATTTGTGACGGGAAATATATCCATATAATACTATTTACATTGCATCTATGGAAGATTTTTAAGTGGTGAGGGCTGCTGATTTTGGTCCATGTGCCTTAATGTTGTGATAAATTATAATGCTAGCGTCATGAAGAGCATCCATGTTTCCTATTATATCGGTGAAGGTTATGTTGTACTTATATGTTTTTGGTTGCATGTTTTGTTGATGGAATCGCATGTAGATTATATTGCTAGATGGATAGGAGTTGGATAGACGATGCGAACCATATCTCCGCTCAATATTTGGACGGGGTCAGGGCTTTCTTAGATTTCGCATTTAAAGATCGTAGCTCTGAATCTTGCATCTATTGCCCCTGTACATCTTGCGGAAATCGCTTAACAAAATCTCGTAGAGATGTCTTGCTCCATTGTATTCGTTATGGATTCGACCAAACCTACAAGGTTTGGACTTGCCACGGAGAAGGAGAGGTGAACCCTGCTGTTGCAAACGACAATATGCCAATGCGTTGGGAGGAGGAACTAGAACTTCTATTGCGAGAGTGTGCATATACAGAGCACACCGATCCGGGGCCCAGTGGAAATGAACCTCATAGGGATGACGAAAATGAACATATACATCATGGCAGTAAGGGGTATAGAAAGATGTTAGAAGATGTAGAGAAAGAGCTCATACCAGGGTGCAAGAAGATGAGTAGACTCTCGTTTATCGCACGGCTTTTGCACTTGAAGGTTTTGTGCCACTGGTCTAATAATTCTATTGATTTGCTGTTAGAGCTGTTACGGGATGCACTTCCAGACGATGTTGTCCTTCCGAAGAACTTCTATGAGGCTAATAAGCTGACCAAGGACTTGGGGTTCACATGCAAGACTATCCATGCGTGCATCAACAATTGCATGTTGTTTACCGGGGAAGATGTTGACCGTGAGGTTTGTGTTATGTGTGGGGAAAAGCGATTTACACAGGGTAAAGATAGATCTCCAGTGAAGAAGTTAAGGTACTTTCCATTAATTCCGCGATTGCAGCGATGGTACGTATCTTCCAAAACTGCATCTTCTATGAGATGGCATGCCGAAGGGCGTGTAGACGATGGCAAGATGCGTCATCCAGCAGATAGTCCTGCGTGGAAGAGTTTCGATCATCGGTACCCGACGTTCTCTGAGGAGATTCGCAACGTACGCCTCGGTCTGGCCACTGACGGTTTCAACCCTTTTGGGAATATGAGTGTGAGTTATAGTATTTGGCCCGTCGTACTTGTGATATATAACCTACCTCCGTGGCTGTGCATGAAGCAACCATCGTTCATCCTCTCTACGATTATAGACGGCCCGCATGGCCCGGGGGATCGGATTGATGTCTTCCTTCAACCTTTGATCGATGAGCTTAAGGAGCTTTGGTATGATGGTGTTCGGACGTACGATGCGAGTACTAAGGAGGATTTCCAGATGCGAGCTGCATTGCTGTGGACTATTAGTGATTTTCCCGGTTACGGTATGTTGTCAGGGTGGCCGACTCGTGGGGCGAATGCATGCCCTGTTTGTGGTTTAAAAACTCATTCCAGATACCTGAAAAATGGACATAAGTATAGCTATTGCGGGCATCGACGGTTCCTGCCGGCTGGGCATAGAATGCGCTTTGATAAACATGCATTTGACGGTTCGATGAGCTTTGACGGAAAGCCTTCTCGCTTGACCGGCGCTGAACTTCTGCAGCAGCTTCAGGATATGCCTACTGAGTATCGTACGGTTGACTTGATTGAGAAACGCATTGCACAGGGGTCTCGCAAGCGTCGCCGGGGGGTGGACGGGCAGCAACAGGTGTGGAAAAAAAAGAGCATATTCTTTCAGCTCCCTTATTGGTCTGAGAATGAGGTACGTCACAACCTCGACTTGATGCACATTGAAAAGAATGTGTGTGAGAATGTACTGTATACATTGTTGGGAACTAAGGGGAAAACAAAGGACAATCTGAACACGAGGAAAGACTTACAGTTGATGCAAATACGTAGTTCTTTACACCCGGTATCGGGTCCTAGGGGCGCTATATATTTGCCGGCAGCTACGTACACCATGAGTAACCCCGAAAAACGGATATTCCTATCTGTGTTGAAGGACCTCCGACCACCTCATGGGTTCAGTTCAAACTTATCGCGTCGTGTGAAGGTAGAACAACAACTAATATGGGGACTTAAGAGCCACGATTGCCATGTTCTTATGCAACGAATTCTACCTATTGCTGCCCGACGGTATACCCTTGAAACGCAATTATTTTAATTAACATGATATATGCCTCCTCTAAATATAACTGAAGGTGCTGATTCAACACTTCCTGTAGGTGTCTTCCCAAAAATGTTGTGCTCGTGTTGATTGAACTTTGTAACTTCTTCAATTCGATGTGCTCAGCTCATAACACAGTTCGTGAACTGGAGCGAATCCAAGAAAGAATTTCTTTGACGCTATGCCATCTTGAAAAGCTATTCCCACCTTCATTCTTTGATGTAATGGAGCATCTGCCTATCCATTTGGCTGAGGAGGCTATGGTGGCCGGTCCGGTGCAGTACCGGTGGATGTATCCCATTGAGCGGTACTTGGGTACTCTGAAGAGGTACGTACGGAACAGGGCACAACCTAGAGGCAACTCATCCCGCAAGCAGGAATCCATCGCCCATCCGCAATCCCACAAAGAAAGTGACAAAACGGAAGGGATCTCGGGTCTCGCCACTGCTCCAGCGACTCCGGTCCATCACATCAGAGTGGGAGAAAGAGCGCGATGCTCGTGGTCAAAGCATGAAGCCAACATCTTCCACTCGAAGGGCAGTGGTTCAGGATTCAGAGGGCCCTTTGGAGGTAATGTGGTTCCTTTGCCGAAAGCATGTCCTTATTTGAACTCTCAGTATAACACTACAATAGGCTGACACTGTTAACCCCAACAGGAACATGATGATAGGGATGTTCCATCACTTTTTGATCCGACGGCACTGACACAGGATGACGATGATACAATCCCCCCCACACAAGCAGATGACGAGACACTTCCGCCGACGCAGGACATGGAGACTGCAGAGAGTGATATGCCACTCTTGGATGAAGGGCCAGGCTCCGACCCCACTCTGATGACAGGAACAGAGGCGGGCAATATGGCACCATTGGACGAGATGACATCGCACGACGGTTTGGAAATTAGCCTTCAAAGATTACCGATTACATTTAGTGACTTCATATTTTGCATGTAATATCCTTATTAGAACATGTAATCTCCTGTTTGTGTCAGCTGGTTCGTCAAAGAAAAAGCAGGGGAGAGGGGCGGCACGAATGCCGCGTGGATGGGGAAAAGATCACAGGATGCTTGTATTCACATCGCCGGATGGTAAAAGCATCGTCGGACCCGACGTAAACGAGTACAAGACAGCCATTGGGGTCATTGCACGCAACGGAGCTCGACTTCCTCTACATTACCCCACGTTCGCTGAGATACCGGAGACGAAGAGACAGGGTGCATGGATGGAGGTTCAGGTGATGCAAACTTCATTAAATTGAAAGTTCTTTTATTTCATATAGATTCTTATATATGGCCCTACCATCTTCTCCGGACCTGGTGGAAACCGTGTGAAACGGCATTCCAGAGTAACAGCGGATTACCAGACTCAGCGGAGAAAGTGGTCTTGGCTGACCTAAGGGAAGTTTGGAGGCACTGGAAATACAGCATCAAATCAACTTACTTCAATCTGATCGAGGACGATGAAGAAGCACTGAAGAAGGTTCCCTCAAGCAGGATTGTGCCCGATCAGTGGCCGAAGTTGGTTGAGTATTGGCGCGACGAGAAGGTGAAGGTACGCATAGGGACATGCCAAATTAATATACGTTAAATCTGCACGGGCATGGACTAAGAACTAAATAACTTTGATTGACGTAGCTTCAATCCAAGAAAAATGCGTCGAACGTAGCGAAAAGAAGCTTTCCACATCGTACTGGGCGGAAGTCATTCACGACTCTGGCAGAGGAGGTACCTTTTATTACAATTAAGTAATTAGTCATGTCATGCTCCATCCCCATATTTTCCTCTCCTGTATTTCATTATGTTTTCGATGACAGAAGGCCTTGTATTGCTGCAGATCAAGGCAAAGGGGAAGGACCCCGACAATCTGGAGATTTGGATTTCCAGTCGCACACAAGGCAAGGGAAAGGATGACCAAGAAACCGAGGAGATATTGGTAGAATAAATTCGTTCCCAACTTAGTTACAATTCAGTCAGTATTTACATCTCTAACAACAAGAGCAAGTTCGGCCTCACTTAAATCTTTCCTGTAGACTTATTTACAGAATGAGCTAAACAAGGTTCCCCCTGAAGGGCGGACTCCCTCTGTTCGGGAGACTCTGTACCGACGGGCCCTTGGGGGAAAGATTAAGAAGCGGTCAAAGGTCGACAGTGCGGCAAGTTCAGCTCATCCCCGCAGCGAGTCAACTGGTTTAACAGACAGTGTAGCATTCCAGCATGGGTGGGAACAACTACAGAATGGAATGGAGGAGCTGAAGGCAATGATGGATGAGTTCAAAACCATCAAGGCTGATGTGTATGCATTCATGCACAGAAACTCCGGAGCGGTTACTGGCCAGGCAGTAAGTATTCATAATCCCTGACCTGTTTGGTATGAGTATCCCATGAGATTTGGATGGCGAAGGAATTTACCATCCTCGGCATGTTATATGATAGGGCACATCTCGTATTGATTCAGTCCCTGAGATTCCCAGGCCTGTGTCCGAGCCAAGCATGACGGTATGATTCCGTGACGCCCTGGAGTTTCTTAGAAATCAGTGCAGTGTCTAATTTAGGCTACTCTTGACTGCGTACTACCTTATCCAACTCATATGCCCTGTCTGTTGTAGGTCGGCACACATGTGCTTCTATTATCCCGCACCGGTGAGAAAAAAGTTGTTGCAGAGGGACTTCTGCTCTGCCCCCCTGGGCCAGGTTGGTCCGGTATCTTTGAGGATGTTTAATTAAACTTTTAATATGCCTCAGCGAGATATCGTAGGTTTTCGTGACTGTTCAGGCCTCATATTGCGTATTAGCATGGATTCACTAAGTGTAGAAGTATACAATGATACGATCCGTGGATTTCCAAAGCGATGTAGACTGTTAATGTAGGGGTGGTAAAATAACTGCTATTATGACGACCCATGTTTATTGAAGGATGTTTGGTTTAAAGATCAAGCTGCAATTACATAGGAAATTAGGGTATAATGTGCTTCGCTACCTAACTCATGAATGTAATACCATGTACTTTACGACATGTCTGAATGTACGTACTCCTCTTGTTCTAGTTCCAAAGTATTACACTTATAATGTCTGTGTTATGACATGTTATATATACAGTTCGAACGTCTGTTGATATATATGCTTGAATGTAATCAAAAATTGCTCTTGTGAATGCTGTAGGTGACACACTTTCCTTGGTCAAGGTCTTCGTGACATCCGCGTCAGTCCCGGACACACCCCTTATTTTGCCGACCATTTCTGGGGCGACTACCCTTCGCGATGTCGTCGGCGAAGATCCTATTGAGTGGAGCTACAAGGACGTAAGGATCTACTTTAATACCTTTCTTGTATTGCCTTCCGAAATTTATAAGAAGTATGACTTAAAGTAATCTCTGTGTTGGCAATTGCAGCTCATGCGCCGGGCTTGAAATGTTGGTACCGATACACCCATGTTAATTGCCCCGTTTGTCATATGGATTGAATGTCGAACCTGTCTTTGGATGGATTGTCTTGAGTTTTTGTTGAACTATTTCTGGAATTGATGCGTAGACCTTTGTGGTTTGAATTCGTATGGTGAAAAATGTGCCTAATGGGATTGATGGATAACCGTATTTGCTTATTGCGTTGTTTACTTGTGTTTGAACTGTTAAGCACGTTTTGCGGAACAGGTTGTTGATGTGTAGATACTAGTAGGCTTGTTCTATGGGTTGCTTTACTTTGTTGGTAGGTATGGAATTCAGATTTTAATATGAATTAATGTTTGCGCGGGGCGTAATGATGATGATGTTTATAGCAATCTTTGTATTCGTAATTTATTTTCGTATCATACGCATCACAGCAGGTCCATTTGTTACGAACAATTTCAATTGCAGCGTACCCCCTGTTTTTCACAATACGCTATTTTTCCGTAACAAAAGGCCAGAAAATCGTTACAAAAAGTGGTCTTTGGATATTTGTTGTTACAGACGGTTTCGTGACTATAAGTAGGTAATATTTTTTTTACGGGGTTCAATGCCGTTACAAATAGTCGTAACAAAAACCAAGTTCTGACAACCGGTCAATGGAAAACACTTGTAACGCGAGGAACTTCCGTAACAAATACCGTAACTAAAAGTCCTGCCACACGCGCGGAAGGATCTACCTTTCGTTACGAGAGAAAATTCGTAACAAACATCGTAACAAATACCATACTTCAGGGAGCGTTGACCGATCGTAATAGTTACGAAAAGTGGCGTGGCAAAAAACATTCGTTACGCGAGTACACATTACGGAAAAAAGTCGTAACAAAGGCGTAGCAAATACGCAAATTGCACGAAATATGGCTTTTTGTTACGATTTTCCGGCCGTAATAGAAAACAGTTTTTTTGGTAGTGAGTTCGAGCTTACCAATTTCTGTATAGCACTTTTATATCCTAGTCACAAGTATCATAATTTACATATTCAAGCAATTAAGAAATCCATCGGTAAGATAGTCTTTACCTGGGAACACTTCATACTTAGACAATACAAATCATGGCTGACTAGTAATTAAAAACCAGAAAGTAAATTCTCGCAGATGTCTGGGAGAAGGAGCATATCCTTCAGCATAAAGTCTTTTATACTCGGTGAGTCTGAGCACCACATTTCAGGTTCCTAAAACGTTAGATATTTTTATTTTACCCTCACCAGCCTTAGCTAGGATTTCTTCTTCTTCGAAGGGTTTCTGATATATACAATATATGATAATATTTTGCTATATTTTTTGCAACTTTTTGATGCAGAATTTTGTATATATACTCCTTATGGTGTGTTTGTTATTGTTTAATAGATTTCATGGAGTTGGCAAGTTTTGGAGCGTATTTGGAAGAAAATGAGCAGAGCGCATAAAGGTCTTACGCATGATCACGCAAGTACAATGTGGAAAATATGAAAATTTACAAAAAGACCCTTTGGGTAAATTAGAAATATAAAGATTATGTGAAGATTTAAGTGCAAAGTGGATCTAATTTAAAAGAGATCATAGGATGGAGAGTTAAGAGACACGATTTTTCAATTGAAGAGGGGAAGAGAAGGGGACTACCACGTTCTACCACGACACCATATTTCTTCAAGGCAGAGAGCAGAGAACTTAGAGAAGGATTGCAGACGCCTTTTCGGGGCATTCTTCTTCTATTCTAATATTGTTCTTTCTTATCTATTTCTGAAGAACTGAAAGCATGATGAACTTTTTCAATTGTTTTGTGTTTTCAATTTTTATGAATTCCGAGTAGTTTCATTTCTAGCATTGGTGTGAATTGATGTTTGTGATTGAATTTGTGAGACTTGGTTTTGTTTAATTTGGTGTTCATCGATATTGGGTATTTCTAATTCTTCTAATTTATAAGTTTAGAAATCTTAAATTGATTATTGCGCACGTATTGATTTGAGATTTCGTAGCTAAATTGGAGATTGGCATCCGTAATTGTGTGGGGTAGGAACCTAGAGGACTACTATAGGGGAAGAATTAGAATCAATTTTGAACAGATCCGCATAGAAATTTTGTTAAATTGAATTGGGCCTTTCTAGTACTTGAAGTTGTCGAGTCAGTAAAACTACGGTCGTACCTAGGATTTTCACTCGATTAGGGAAATACCTAACGCTCGTACCTTAGCTATCGACAAAGTAAGGAAAGGTTGGTTGTGAATGCATGTAGATCAACTATAACCTATTTATCCAACTAGTTAATGAACTTGATTTTTAGTCGATGAACAAATGTTATATCCCGAACAGAAAAATTCATGCCTATGCTAATTATATTTGGTAAACCGTCTTGCATTTTATGTTATTTTATTGAGTGAATTTATTTTTCTCAAAATTACTGTGATAAATCAAAATGCCCCCCATTATATATATAGTATAATTATAAATAACCGAATATTCAATATTGTTATTGTTCCCTGCGGAGACGATCCTACTCACCGAACTACTGCATTTTGCAATATCTTTATGGCGTAGGAACTGATACTTTATTTTGCAGTTGGGCGACACGCATGCAATTTTGGCGCCGTTGCCGGGGAACAATATAAGAATTTTTTATATTTGGATTTTATTTTATTTATCTTTCTTTCTCGCTTAATGGTTTATGCCTCAAATTGGTCATATAGGTGAATTAATGTTTGATTCAGAAATCGAAAGGATTGCACGCCATTTAAGGAAAGAAGCTGGAGAGTGAAAGAGGGTTGAAAAATAAACTGAGTCGCCAGAGCCTGACTTAGCTATCCAACTGGTTGACAGTTCTAGTTCCGATGAGAGTAAAGAGGCCAAGGAAATTGAAGAAGTTGTGATACATCCAATAGAATGATAGAGAACTCTTAGGGAGCTAGTTTCTCCCGGTTTAATTCAGCATCTCTTGTGTATTACTTTTCCTACTATAGCCGATAATACGACATTTGAGCTTAAATCTGGACTTATACATTTATTGTCGTCTTTTCATGGCCTGGAAGGGAGGAACCACACAAGAACTTCCAGGAGTTCGATGTAGTGTGTACGAACATGAAACTACCAGAAATCACTGAGGAGCAGATAAAACTTCAAGTTTTTCCATTCTCCTTGAAAGATGCAACCAAGGATTGGTTGTTCAACTTGTCCACCGGGAGTGTGACCACGTGGATGGATATGAAGCGCGCAAGTTCCTTGAAAGGTTCTTTCCCGTATCCCGGGCTGCTAATTTACGAAAAGAGATTTGTGGCATCAAATAAGCATCAAGGGAGTCTTTATATGAGTATTAGGATAGATTTAATAAGTTAATTGCTAGATGTCCGCAACATCAGATTTTTGAGCCACTTCTAATCCAATATTTCTATGAAGAACTAACTTTTATTGACAGGAATACAATCGATGCTGCTAGTGGAGGAGCTCTTATGAACAAGACTCTGAGAGAAGCTTGGGAATTGCTAAACGACAAGGCTATGAACTCTCAAAAAATTCGGCCAAGGGATGTTGTGGGAGTGAAAGAAGCTACCAAGGTAAGTTCTCCTTTGCAACAACAATTGAATGAGTTAACTACTTTTGTGAGAAAACTTGTTGTAGGGAACTCTCAAGTGAAGCCATGTGGGATTTGTGCGAGTGTTGAGCATTTTACGGATGCTTGTCCTACATTGACACAAGAGGTGGAAGTGAATGCAGCAGGATTTGCACAGAGAAGGGCTTATGATCCCTATTCAAACACATACAATCTAGGATGGCGAGACCACCCCAATTTTCGATATGCAAATCAGAATCAGCAATCCTTTGGACAACAGCAACCACCGGGATTCCAACCACCTGTGCAACAGCAACAACAATGGACCATGCCCCAAGCTCCTAGTCCTAGTAACTCTTTGCATGATATAGTGAAATCAATTGCCTCTAATTTTTTGCAATTACAGCAAGAGACAAGAACTAGTATAAAAAACTTGGAAGATCAGATGTCTCAAGTCGTGGAAGAGGTGCGTGAAATGAAAGAAAGGGAAAGAGGCAAGCTACCTGCTCAAACCCACATGAACCCGAGCAATGTTAGTTCAATGGTCTTGCGAAGTGGTAAGGAGCTAGAAGGTCCGAAGGTTGTTGCACAAAAAGAGAGAGCCGAAGAGGAGATTGAGAAGGAGATCGAACAAGAAGCGAACAAGTCAACTGATTAGGTAATCTCTAAACCACCTATTCAATCACTTCTAATATTGCTCTATTTCCTCACAGGTTAGCGAAACCGGCTAAGAGTGACAAAGACAAGGAGATCATGGAATTTTTTAAGAAGGTGGAGCTAACGATTCCTTTGCTCGATGCAATTAAGCAAGTCCCCCGTTATGCAAAGTTTCTAAAGGAGTTGTGTACTAAGAAGCATAAGTTGAGAGGGGACGAAAAAGTGTTAGATGGAGGGACTGTGTCCACTGTGCTGCAAAGGAAATTGCCACAAAAGTGCAGAGATCCAGATGTCCTTAATCAAAATGTGCAGGAAGTCTTTGAAGTTGGAGAAATAAGGAAGTTGCAATTGCAAGAGTTTGAGGAATTCAGAACAAAGCTTTCAAGAATGCAAGGAATTATAAAGGAAATAGTAAGAAATTTCATGATCCAAATATTTTGAGAAAAGATTTTAAGGTTGCTCAAAAGGTTTTGCTTCATCATTCTCGTCTTAAGATTTTCCTAGGTAAACTTTGTTATCGTTGGATAGGTCCATTTGTGGTAACTAATGTGTTTCCGCGTGGTTACAGTTGAGATTCAAAGTTTTAGCACGGATAAAAGGTTTGTTGTGAATAAACATCATCATAAGCCTTATTATGAGTGGTTCCAGAGCAAAAAAGTGGAGTGCGTAGCTCTTTTTGAGCCGCATGATTAGCTTAAGAATCATCGTGCGAACCAACGACGATAAACAAAGGCGCTTCTTGGGAGGCAACCCAAGTGTTTTAATTTTATTTTGTGTCCTTTGAGTTCTGGTTGTGTTTGTGAGTCAGTCTCATGCCTTATTTTGGTGTTTTAATGCAGGTATAGTGTTCACGGTGGGATGAGCAGAATGGACAAAATTTTTAGACGTGGCCACGCATCCAATGTGTTGTAATTGATGAGAGGGAGAACTTTTAAGGAAATCAGAACATAAAACTTCCTTGGGCGTTATCACGCGTAACGAAGCCTTACATTCTAAAAAATTGCGCAAAAAAGGGGTTTATTTTGGGGAATTATTAAATTTTTTATTATTAGTATATTTATTATTATTATTATTATTACTATTATTAAACTTAATATAAATATATTTATTATTATTTCTATAATAATAATAATTATTATTATTATTATTATAGCTATTAAATATTTTTTTATATATATATATAGTTTCTTTATTTCTATATTTATTATTATAGTTACTATTTTTATTCTTATTATTATTATATTTATTATTACGGCTATAATAATAATAAGGGAAAATTGCAAAAAATACACTGTATGTTGGTCCAATTATCATTTTCGAACACTTTTTTTCCACTTTTGCAATTTAGGACATTATGTGTACTCCAGGCATTATTTTTGCCCTCCGGCGCCGGAAAAATGCACGTAACCGTCACGTGCGCCTTCGTGGCATGGCCGGCGCATACGTGGACGCCGCCGTTATTGTGTTGTCGTCCGCGTGGTCGTCGGACAGGTGACATGGAACAAATTGTTTTCTCGGAACCAGAGGGCAAAAATAATACTTAGAGTACACATAATGTCCTAATTTGCGAAAGTAAAAAAAAAAGATAATTCCACATCACCTGTCCGACGACCACGCGGATGACAACACAGCAACGGTGGCGTCCACGTATGCGCCGGCCATGCCACGAAGGCGCACGTGACGGTCACCCGCATTTTTCCGGTGCCGGAGGGCAAAAGTAATGCCCAGAGTATACATAATATCCTAAATTGCAAAAGTGGAAAAAACAGTGTTCGAAAATGATAATTGAACCTACATACAGGGTATTTTTTACAATTTTCCTTTATTATTATTATTATGATTGTTAATATATATTTGGAAGCAATATATTATTATTTATGGTAGTTATTTTATTTAAGAGGTTTATAGGATTCTTGCCTTATTTAGACAATTTTTTGTATATCATTATAAATATGTACGTATTCTTATTATTGAAATAGAGAATTTCAGTTTCATATTCTAACATGTTATCAGAGCCAAATTCTCTCCGGATACATTTATGACCCGTTATATTTCATATATATTTTTATATTTTATTGATGTATCTGCTACTATTCACAATCATGCTCGGTCATGTTGTTATATCCATGTCGTCTCTGTCTCTACTACTCCACTGATAGAGTCCACTTTCGACTCTAACGCTGTTGAGAGTCCTATTTTCGACTCTAACTCTATTGAGAGCGAGGGAGTCCTGTTTCTGACTCTAGCTCTGTTGTAAGCGAACTAGTCCAGTTTCCGACTCTAGCTCTATAAAGTAAGCGAGTCCTATTTTCGACTCTAGTTCCGTTGTGAGCGAGCGAGTCCTGTTTTCAACTCTAACGGTGTTGAGATTTATGCTTCTGACTTTGATCCAGTGGACGGCTACACCACCTTCAGTCAATCTTGGCGAATTCAAATTCGTACATGGAAGATCTCAGCTATAACTTTTTCGGTCACTTCTGACAAACTCAAGTTTGTTCGATCATATATTGAGTTTGAGGAGGGGTGTTAAAATATATTTAGAAGCAATATATTATATATACGGTAGTTATCTTATTTAAGAGATTTATAGGGTTCTTACCTTATTTAGACAGACGATTTGTATATCATTATAAATATGTACGTATTCTTACGATTGCAATAGAGAATTATTACTACACCCTTTAAATTCTAATTCCTTTTTCTCTCTCCCTCACTCACTCAAAATCAGCCGCCTCATCTCCTTTCTCTCCCGCCGGTTCAACTCGGGATCGCAGCCCGCGCCGATCACCGTCCAGCCGCTTCTAACCGCCTTGCTCAACCCAGCAGTCCGGCTGCGCCAGCCATCTCTTCTGTGTTGAATAATATGCTTCAAATATTTTAGATAATTAATTATATTATTATTATAAATATATTAAGTAATTATCTAAATAAAGTATCTTAATAAAAGTGATTATTATTTTCTATATTTGGATTGATTTTATGTAATCAATCTTAATATGGCTATGGTATGTTTTAATTTTTGAACTCCTTTTTTCCGGATTGTGTCTGTGAAACATTGATTGACTTTACAAAGCTTTCCCCAACAAATTTTTGGTACCAGAGCCACAAAATTTGTGCCTGGAAGGAGGATCAGATTGGAGAAGGACACCAGCAGTCCTTTGGAGCAAGGGATTCGGTAAAGTGATCGAGAAAGAATTGGTGAATCGCATTCATGGCCAACAATTCGAGTTCTCAGGTTTCAATTCCGATGTTTAAATGGGAAAATTATCATTGTTGGAGTTTAAAAATGAAAACCTTGTTTAAATCTCAAGAACTTTGGGATATGGTAGAAACAGAGTTCGTCGATGATAGATTTGAATCACCCACGCAGCAAGGGAAAATCGAAAGAAGGATGCCAAGGCGTTATTCCTCATTCTACAAGCTCTTGATGATAGTATTTTCTCCAGAATTACAGCTGCCGATATGTCAAAGTAAGCATGGGGTGTCTTCAAGCAGAAGTATTTGGGAGATGAGAAGATTATTACGGTAAGATTGCAAAACCTGCGCTGTGATTTTGAGTTGTTATCAAGGGTTTCTGCACTTGTTAATCTTATGAAGTCGTATGGTGACGAAATAAATAATATTATTGTGGTCAGCAAAGTTTTGAGAAGTTTAACCTCAAAATTTTATCATGTTGATATGGTTATTGAAGAGATGAAGGACCTATCTACTTACAGTTTTGATGAGCTGATGGGTACTTTATTGAGTCATGAGGATCGATTGAATAGATCTACTAGAGAAAACCGAAGAAAAGGCTTTCCAATTGAAGCGGGAGCTTCAATCTAAGGGGAAGGTAGATTTTATTTCCTGGAAGATGCAGGATAACGCAGCAAGTAGAGGCCAAGGAAGAGGTGGTTATCGCGGTCGAAGTCGTGGTCGAGGCAGAGGACGCAATTATTTTTTTGGAGAATGCCATTATTGCAAGAAATATGGGCATAAGGAGGTTGATTATTGGTTTAAACAAAAGGAAAAACAAAAGGATGACCAGAAGTGTGCGAACTTCACCACAACACATGAGGAAGAGAGTAATCTATTCATGACTCATTCCACTATGAATAATGTAACCAATGATGTTTGGTTTATTGGTAGTGGGTGTTCTAATCATATGTGTGGTGAAAGAGGATTGTTTAAAGATCTGGACGAGACCGAAAAATCAGAAGTTTGTCTTGGTAATGACAATCCAATCAAAGTTGATGGTAGAGGTACGATTGCGATTAGAACCACGGAAGGCAATAAAAAATTGATCCGTGAGGTACAATATGTTCCATTACTTGCTCATAATTTACTAAGTGTTGGACAGCTATTGAAGAGTGGTTATTCGGTTCTATTTAATGATGAATCTTGTGACATCACGGAGAACAAGACCAATAGAAAGCTTTTCACTGTTAAGATGACATCGAACAGGATGTTCCCTCTTGATGTGAAGCTTGGTTGTACCTTCGTCGCTAATGAGGATGTAGAAGCTAAACTTTGGCATAACAAATGTGGTCACTTGAATATTAAAGGGCTGCAGCTGCTTCTGAAGAAAGGGATGGTTCTTGGGCTGCCTAAACTTGATCGTTTTAATTTTTGTGAAGGGTGTGTTTATGGAAAACAGAGCAGGCCTTCATTTCCGGTGGGAAAAGCATGGAGAGCATAATCTTGTCTTGAGCTCATTCATTCGGATTTATGCGGACCTATGTCTGCGGAGTCTTTTGGAGGGAGTGGATATTTTTTGCTATTTGTGGATGATTTCACTCGGATGTGTTTAGTCTATTTCTTGAAAAATAAATCGGAGGCATTTGAGAATTTCAGAAAATTCAAGGCGTTGGTGGAGAAACAAAGTGGGTGGCAAATTAAATCTCTTCAGACTGATCGAGGTGGTGAATTTGTTTCACGTGAGTTAATGAGTTTTGTGAAGAGAATGGAATCCATAGAGAGCTGACTGCACCTTACATGCCACAGCAAAATGGCATAGCTGAACGTAAAACTCTCACCATTGTTGAGATGGGCAGAAGCATGATGGTCGCAAAGGGTGTTCCGAAAATGTTCGGGGCTGAAGCAGTAGCTACAGCCATCAACATTTTGAATATTTCTCCGACGAAAGCTGTTTATGATCAGACCCCATATGAGGCGTGGAATGGTCACAAGCCCAAGGTAAGCCACTTACGAACCTTTGGCTGCACAACATATGCTTTGAGTAAATCTCGATCAAAGCTTGATGAAAAGTCGGAAAAGTGTGTGTTGTTGGGTTATAGTGTTCCATCAAAGGCATACAAACTATATAACCCAATAAGTGGCAAGGTGATTATAAGTCAGGATGTCCAATTCAATGAAAATGAAGGTTGGACTTGGAAAGGAAGTGAAGATGCTGGAGCAACGATGCAAGTAGATGAAATTTTTAATCACTCTTCTAAGACTGCGATACATGCTGAAGGTGAAAATTTAGGAGGTTCTGCAGATTGTTTGTCGGATTCCTTACATTCGAGTCGAAGTAGCAACAGAAATCCTTCTCGTTCTACTTATGAACACACTCCGAAAAATTCAGATAAGTGGCAGAAGTTTATGGAGACTGTAGTTTTGCATTGTACATATCGGAACCTACATGTTTCGAAGATGCAGTTGGAAAGGAAGAATGGCAAGCTGCAATGGTAGAAGAAATCAAGGCGATTGAGCGCAATTAGACGTGGGACTTGGTGGAACCTCCTGAAGGAAAAACTCCAATAGGTCTCAAATAGGTATTCAAAGTCAAGTATCATGCTGACGGTACTGTGAATAAGTACAAAGCGAGGCTGGTTGCAAAAGGTTATGCGCAACACAAAGGTGCTGATTTTGATGAGACTTTCTCACCCGTGGCTCGCTTTGAGACGGTAAGAACTCTTCTTTGTCTTTCTGCACATTTACAGCTTCCGGTTTATCAATTCGATGTTAAATCTGCATTATTAAATGGAGATTTAGAAGAAGAAGTTTATGTCTCGCAACCTGAGGGCTTTGTGGTTCAGGGCAAAGAACACAAAGTTTTTAAGCTAAAAAAAAACAGTATACGGGCTTAAACAAGCACCACGGGCGTGGTATAAAAGAATTGACTCATACCTTCTAAAGAATGGATTTATGAGGAGTGAAAGTGAGCCAACATTGTATGTAAAAAGAAATGACAAAGGTGAGTTTCTACTTGTTTGCATTTATGTCAATGACATTATATATTTGGGATCAAGTGAAACTTTAGTTGTTGATTTCAAGATGTGTATGATAAGGGAGTTTGAAATGTCGGACTTGGGGATGCTTAGTTATTTTCTCGGACTTGAAGTAAAGCAAGCTGAAGATGGCATATTTCTCTCACATAATAAATATGCTAATGATCTTTTACTCAAGTTTCGCAAGCACAATTGCAAAGCAGCAACAATACTGATGAATCACTACCAAAAAATTGAGCTTTTGTAGCGGACTAATTTTCCGTAACAGTAATTGTGCCACAAAAAGTGGTTTTTGTTATGAGTTATGTCGAGACAAAAGAAACTTTTGATGGTCAACCTTTTTTTTCTTTTGTTATGATAATTTATCCGTAATAAATACAATTTTGACAAAAAACATCATATATATATTTGTTACGCAAAATACACCGTAACTAAAAAAGAAAGTCAATATTATAATTAAAAAATTACAAAAAATTCAATATAAAATTATTTTAAAAAAAAAGAAAAAAAGTGTGAACATGCTTTCCATGAGTCATATAGCAACATATATATACAATCAAAACACTTAGAAAAATTCTATTGTTTCTCTCCATCCTTAAAATTGTAGAATAGACTCCGATCCGACCCGCTGTTGCCTCCACCTATTTTCCGCCATCGCCTCCACCCTTGCTCTACCATCGCTAGTGGAAGGTAGCTCAGAAACCACCGTAAGTTGACAACCTTCACCGCCTAGGTTCAAAGGCTCTCATTTGCGCTACGTTTTAGGGCACGAAATCTACGGGTAAGTTAAAACAATTGGTTGACCTAACGTGTTTGTGTATTTGAGATTTTTTTTATTGTATAATACTCATCTAGCTGATATTCATTTGTATTAATTTTTTGCAACATAGGTCTTTGGATTTAAAACCTAGGTTTCCCCCTTAAATTCGATTTGGAGGTTTTTGGATAACATTATAATTAAAATTATTTTATTGGTAATTACATAAATATAATGGGTATAAAAGAAGTGGTATGAGGGCTTCCTTGAGTTTTTTTGAAGGGATTAGTAGCATTTGTAAAGTTTGAGTTTTAGAGGGGATTAGCGGCATTTGTACCAGAAAGATTGTATTAGCTTGTTCATAGTATAAATTTTATTTATATATGCTTAAGGAGAAGTAGTTTTTTTGTCTTAATCTACTCCCAACACCAAAAGGAATAAGGTATGCTCTCTATGAGTGTGAATTTCGCCGAATTTGTCATTACAGTAGTTACGGAAATTCTGTTTCAGCATAATAAGGAATAAGGTATACCCTTTGGAGGCCTAATTTTGCTTGGGTAGAAGTTTCAGCAGCAACGGAAACTCTATTTTTATTATTGCTGCATTTTATTCTGGATTTGCCCATTGGTGTGCCTTAGTTTTTCATTTGTTATACTGGAAATGTTGAAGTAGTTACGTTAGGGTTTGATAAATGACTTTTAGTATTGCTTAAGGAAGTGATAATCAAATTAGCATACGCAGACGGTCAATACCTTCTCTCCCGTGTGCTTGTTTATGACAATCTGCTCTGAGGAATATGGAGCAATTATATAGTAGAATTTATTTTGTGAATCTTTCATATAATTTGTGTTTTCTTTTGGATAGGAGCTTATTTGTGCTTTCATTAGGTATTTTTAGCCGGGAAAATTATTTAGGTTCATTCTTTGGTTTACTCACATGGAACATGCTTAGATGGAGTTGGAAATAAGATATAATTTTGTATAGGGAAGGTAAAAATTTTGAGCTCTTATGTTGATATGATAAGAGGTTTATTGAATTTTATTTTTGACATATACACACTTTTATTGTTGTTGGATCATGCATTACATAATTTTGGTCACTTAATTTATTTCTAATAGAGCCCGATGAATTGATATATGGGATTTGCTCGGAGCTATTATACTATAGGTGAACCATGCTTACATTTTCCCACTTCTTTCTTTTCTATTCTTTATTATTGGTACTTATATATGCCATTCGCTTACACTTATTGGCTTTAACTTGAAAACTTTGCTTAGTGTTGGTTCAATTCATCAAGGTGCAAAGATGTTTCGTATCTCCAAATCTTGTGAAGAATTTTGTTAACCGTTGGATGAAGCTCTAGATATCCCTGGAATATATATGGTATGTTGCTTTAATAAGACAATGATCTAATCGGACCTGAATTATTTATGTAATTTTGGAAATTGGCTTTCATTTTCTTTGCTCATGAATGCATTTCTCAATATATTGATCCCAACTGCTATAAGCATATTGGTATCAGATTATTTGTAAATGCAAAATATTAGTCTCTGCTTTTATTTTATTTTAGTGGTAATATTATTTCTGCTAGAAGTTCATTTTATTTTGGCATTACATGAAATTGAGCTACTGTGTTCTTCAGAAAGAACATAAACCACAATTGATTAAACATAAAGTATTATGAATTGAAGGTGTAGGTTTGGTTAACTACTATTTATGAAATAGTGGCGTATGGTCGAATTTTGCTATTTTGTCGTTTGGTTTGGGTATCAAATTCAGAGTTGTTTTTGATTAATCACTTTTTGGAACTTGTGATCTTCAAAGTTGAATATGAAGGCTATTAGGTTGACGAAGACATAGCTGCCATTTTTATTTTATTTTATTTTATTTTATTTTGAGGTAAAAAAAAATTATTGTGGATTGCATAATAGCAAATACATGCCTGAAAATATACAAAACTTTAATTAATACATATATATGTGTGTGTGTGTTTTTTTTTTTTTTTGTGTTTAATGTTCAGTGAGATCATTAAAGGAAGAGTTGCAATTACTTCAGGAACTTGGATCTTATGTTGGTGAAGTTGTCAAAGTTATAGGGAAATCAAAGGTTCTAGTGAAGGTATATTTTGCATTTGAATAAAATTGTTTCTATTTACTGAAAATTTTCTGCTTATGACATTGATATCTTAATACTTGTTTTGTGTGTGTGTGTGTTTTAAGTCTAGATAAGTTTTGATTGTGGAAATTTCAAATTCTCGTTTGCTTATGTACACCTGGAGGGGAAGTATTAATCTATTTAGGATAGCCCCTCTAGTCTTTGATTGTTGGGTTGTCTAATTGATCTATTTCTTACACTTGTACTATTAGATTCAATTTAATTATTGAAAACTTTATGGTTTCATAAAATCTATAGATAGTAGCATTTTGTTTCAAGTAATAATGTGATTATTGAAATTAATTAATCTTCAAATTTTATATTTAGTGTTTTCTCTAGTACCTTAATAATAAATGATACATTGGTGGCAATTTTTTTTTTTAGCTATCTAGATGTATGTCCTAATCATGGTTGCCAACAAAATAAATATCAATTAAAATGGAATGTGATTTTCTTTTGGTTTGGTCCCACCATATTTATAGATTTATAAATGCATATTCATCCCACTAAGTGTAGTGTTGATTAGTTTCTTTCTTTCTATTGTTATACACAAAAGTGATATAAATATTATCAATATCTATCTATCTATCCAATGTCAAAGCTAGGTTGGGGTTGAACTAACTTATTAAATGGAATTATCACCCAACCGCCAGTCTTGGTCCTATCAAAGAGAAAACCTTTGTAATCCACAACATCTGCCACTGTCAAATTTATCTATGCCGCATCACCTGCAGCCTGCAATATTTATACATAGATTGTTAGATAAGGTTGTCATGAATAAACTATTTCAAGAATATATATTATGATGATGATATATTTAAAGGGTTAGTTAACTACTAACCATAGAGGTAGGTTTTCTGCTTCTTGCTTGCTTTGCTGTGTGCAATAGATTTTGGTTTCTTTGGGTTAGACTCGGTTCAACTTAAGTGGGAAAGAGATGATGAAGAAGAGAGAAAGATAGAGCCGTTTTAGCTGCAGGTTGGTTCAATATATATTATTGCTGGAGGTTGTTATCTACTTGATTATATTATATTAATATAGTAGTAATTATGTAACTACTAGATTGTTAATTCCCTCTAGTTAGTCTAAATTAGCATGTTTTCATTAATTGTTAAATTGCAAAATTTTTTACTGCAATATTGATTAACTTTGTTGTTGTTGTCTGTTTAAATTATATTAGGATAAGTGCTCATTGATTAATTATTTTGCTAGATAGATTAGTCTTGTTTTTATTTATATTAGCATAGGGCTGTTCGTGGATATTTATTTTATTATTTGGCATAACTTAATAATGGTGATAGTTTACGGAACTAGAATAATAACTTTTTGCTCGTGGCTACTTTAGTTTAAATTTTGATCAGACTTGTTGTTTGGCTTAGTAGAAAACAATAAAGACTCAAGAGAAGGAGAAAATTAATATCATTTGATGGAGGCGCTGGGGAGGTTTATAGAGATGAAATAACAAAGAAAGCAAGAAGATGATTGAGGCGGCAACTATGTGGACGGTGATCTAGGGTAAATATGAAATATTGTACTCCATCTGTCTCATAATAAATGATATTATTTTTATTTTTAATTTTTCACATAACAAATGATATGTTTCTATATTTGTTAAATTTCATTAATTAAATAATACTTACCAACAAATTTTCTGATGCCACCAATCCTAATCTCAACCTCAATCCGAATTTGACACCTATTAGGATTGAGGTTGGTATTGGGTGGCATTGGGAAATTTGTTGGCATCTGGTGATATTGTTGTAGGGGACTTTTATTTGGGTATCAGGTAGTTATATGGTGAAATTTTCTATGTAGAGCTTGATTGGTGGTTATTTGTTGCCATATGAGAGGTTATGTTATTTTTCTTGCTGAAGGATTTCCCCCGTATTGTATAATTTTAGTTGTACGGACTGATACGTATTATGATTCTGGTGGTTTATAAATGTTGGTTTATCGGTGTTGGAAGAGTTGTTCTGTAGTTTATTGTTGTATGGTTTATCTTCCTAATGGTTGGTGGTCAGTCTTCTTGACTAGTGCTTTTGGTTGTAGACATTGCTATATTCATATTTAAGATAGTGTCCATAGATCAACTGAAGGATAACTTTTATTTTATTATGAAGTTTCCATAGCTACCATTTTCTTTATATATTTATATATTTTATTATATTCATTCATGTTGTTTAGAGATATCATATTTCCTAATATTAGTTTTGGTTTTACATTTTTATATAGGCGATACCCTAGCCATTGTCAAGGCATTTGTTACCGCTGTTATGGTCCCAGAGACTGTACTTATTCTCCCAAGTAATGCCGGAGTGAAATGCTCAATGAGGTACTCGACGGAGAAAACATCAAGTGGAGTTACAAGGTTGTACGATTTTTTTAAAAATTTTTATTCTTTTAGAAATTAAATTACTTTAGTTGCTTATATAATTCTTATATATCATTGGAAACACATTGCAATTGGTTGACCGCCTCTGATTGCTTCATCTGTGATTTTGCACTCGATGAGCTTGGTCGTTCATAGTTGTATTTGTTAGTCAACCTTAGGATTGTACTGCAGTTTGATACCATATTTATTTATTCACGTATTACTTTTGGATTTGGGGATCAACTGTTAGCAAGTTGTTAATTGGTTGTTATGGTGTATAGCATGGTGATTTTTGAAGATGTTTTAAAGTACTGTTAATGTCTAGTATTCTATTTTTGACACGAATATGAATGTTGTTGGGTTGATGTCATTGTACAGATATGAACAAGGATTTCAGATTAATAAGGATAATATTATATTTTAAATTATTTGTGATGCAAATTGATCAATAAAAAATTTAACAATTGGATTTTATTCATGGCGACAAAATCCTTATTTGAGACATGGACACCTTTTGTAGCGGATTTTTCATTACGGACAATGGCCGGTACATAAAGTGTTTTACGTTTGCATTACATTTGTATCGAATTTTTTGTTGCGGAAAAAATTTGTAACAAACAGTTCTCTGACAGGACACTACTTTCATAACGCAATGTTTTGTTACGGACGAAGATTGCAACAAAAAATTTTCTGACAAGATTCCATATTTGTACCGCATTTTTTGTTTAAAAAATATGTCCTAACAAATAGTTCTTTGACAGGATTTAACTTTTGTTCTAAATTTTTTGTTACGGACATATGTTGTTCCAAAAACATGATCGATGCTTTTGTTACGTACAAAAAACGCAACAAATACAATAAACACGTGCTTATTTTGAGGGTTGACCGCCACTTATTTGTTACTGAATTCGTTGCAACATAGAATTTTTGTACCGCAATTTTTCTTAGCAGTCAAAATCCACCACAGAGTTGACACAAAATGCTATTGTGCACAAAAATTGGGTTTTCGTTATGGATTTTTGACCGCTACAAAAAGTCCTTTTTTTGGTAGTGTAATACTAATGAGAAGTTGCAGCTGGAAGATGGAACCAAAGCAGCTGATCGGAGCTATTTTCAAAGGCTAATAGGTGGACTAAATTATCTTACACATACTCGTCCTGATATCATGTATTCGGTGGGTTTGCTATCCAGGTACATGCATAATCCTACCATGCAACATCTGGGAGCAGCAAAAAGAGTGCTTCGATGCATAGTTGGAACCTCTGATTGGGGAATTTGGTATTCAAAAGATGCTGAATTTCAATTGCAGGGATTTAGTGACAGCCATTGGGCTGCTTGCATAGACAACAGGAAGAGTGTTTCTGGTCAAAGCTTCAACTTAGGTTCCGGTGCTATTTCTTGGAGTTCGAGAAAGTAGGATTTTGTTACATTGTCCTCATCCGAAGTGGAGTATGTTGCGGTGACTGCTGCAGCGTGTCAAGTTGTGTGGTTAAGAAGAATACTGGCTGATATGCACCAAGGGCAAAAGAATGCAACAACAATTTATTGTGACAACAAAGCCACTACTGCAATGACAAAGAATCCAGTGTATCACAATAGGACAAAGCATATCGATACTTGGTTTCATTTCATTCGTAATTTGGTGGCAAATGGTGGTCTTCAGTTAGAGTACGTTGCTACAAATGATCAAGTTGCAGATGCTTTTACTAAGGCACTTACTTGGGAGAAGATTAAGTATTTCCGAAGGCAACTTGGAGTTTGCAGATTTGAAGCACGAGGGAGTGTTGAATAATATGCTTCAAATATTTTAGATAATTAATTATATTAATATTATAAATATATTAAGTAATTATCTAAATAAAGTATCTTAATAAAGAGTGATTATTATTTTCTATATTTGGATTGATTTGATGTAATCAATCTTAATATCACTATCGTATGTTTTAATTGTTGAACTCCTTTTTTCCAGATTGTGAGAATAATATACGTATCAGTTCTTCTTCTTCCTTGCAGCCTGTGAAACATCGATTGACTTTACAAATCTTTCCTCAACATTCCATGCAGGTCGCTGTCAGCCTTTATCCAGCCGCCGTGAGTCCCAGCGAAGGTCCGCTTCGAAGAGCCACTCCTCCCATCCGCGACGCTGCTCAGAACCGCCGGTTCACCCCAGAACAGCCGGTTCGAGTCGCAGCCATCAGCAAGTCCGCGTGTTCCCTACATAACCGAGATTCGCCTTCGGTTCGATTCTTCAGGGAGTTCTTCGACTCTTAATTTATATTGCATTCTCTTGGGTAACCTCTATCGATTATTGCCGAGATATTATATAAAATCAGTTGATGAGGAAGAATTTTAATTTGGGCGATTTTCGTAGAGGTTCTTTGATGCAATCGATAAATGGATGCATATAGATGGTTGTGAGAGATTATTGGGTGATTGAGATTGTCGATTAACATTTGAATGCTTTGTTGTGGAATTGTTCTTGGTGTTGGAATTTATTTAGGAATTGTAATTTGATTGTTGAATTCTTTTGCGTGAAGGCGCGATGAGCAAGGTGCAAAAGTCAGATCCCCTCCTACTACTCCGACCAGTGCGAGCATCGTCCGTCTATCCGTCAGTGACTTGTCGCCCCACCTATTCCAGGGAAGTTTCTTTTCTCCTTCTCTTTTGTTTTATCTTTATTGTTGCAATAGGGACATTGCCTCAATTAGGTGTGGGGGAGATTAGAACTTTTGATGCGATATAATGCTTTATTTTGATGCACTTCCCTACATGTCCTCTTGTGAATTTTTGGCCGGGGTTGTTGTGCTTACTTTGTGTGCTTAGCCTTCTAACAAAGAACCCTTAGGTGAGTTGTTTGAGCCTTATTTGAGCAAATTCAACACATACATATCTTATATGCTCAATTTTTCTTGGATTGTGTGAACATATGTATTTGACTACCTAGAACTTGCTTGCTTATACTTATTAACTCCGTGTTTCTTGAGAATTGATGGGATTCAAATGATAAGGCACTAGGATTACCCGTGTTGGCCTTAATTTCATATCTTCGCCTATATTATCCCCTAGTGAACCAAGTTTGAGCTTAATGTTATTATTCTTTTTTTTTTGTTCATATTTAACCCCAAGCCGATAAGCCATTTTATTGGATTAAGCCAAACGCTTACTTGAACCCATAGGAATTTGAGGAATTGTTCTTTGATTCATTACATTAGATTATTTAGAGTTGCATTCATTATACGATATTATTCCAAAGTTGTAATTGAAAGTATTCATATTGTGGCACAGTTATAAATTCATATATTTTTGCCAAAAGTATCTCATTATCTAGCCCTTTAAAAAATAATAATAATGAAAAGGGGCTGAAAAAAGAAAAAATGAAAGAGAAAAGAAAAAATAAATATTACGAGTCCTTAAAAAAAAAGGACTCGTGAAAAACAAAGAAAGTATGTTCTTGTATTGCATTGATCATCGCTTATGAAATGTTGTGTTGTTCTTGATGCGACTTGCGTTCATTGTGATGTGATGAATTGATAGATTAATTCCTCAGTCTCACTAGCCGTTAATATCCTCTTTCCTACCCCAACCATGGCCCCATTACAACCTTTAATTAAGACCTTTGATTATGAACGTCAACTTCTTGATGAATTGTGGAGTTGATTTGATTTGCTGGCAAGCCTCTGGGATTCGTTGTTTACTTCATGTGCTTTGAGTGAATATAGCCTAAACACTTAGCGTGAGAGCTTTTACTTATATACATTCCACATTTTGTGAGGTTAGTTGGTTCTTGCATACTTTGAATCTGACGTAATTGATAACACGGCTAAGTGCTAGTGAGTATTCCAATTCTTGGTTTGGACATGTGCTTGAGGACAGTTTCCTCACTTCATTAAGTTGGCCTTATCGTCAAAGACCTTCAATTTTGAACTTTTATTCAGGTTGTTCTTTTAAATATGAAGTTTGACAGCCAGATCCTCAAGTGACATAACCTTTTTGTTATGTTTTGACGTAGTTCTTAAAGTTTCTTCATGAATGAGGCAACTTTAAAATAATTTGTTTCCACATTAAAGACATCCAAGAATTACATCCCTTTTGACTTGGACATTATATATCAAGATTTGAAACACTTGTACTTGTACCATAACCAAACGTCCGTTGACTATATGGTACAACAAGTATCTCAGTACAGCGAACCTTTTGGTACTCACATTCTCAGTAAGCTATTTTCTACAGATCATTATCATTTTCTACAAATTAATATACAGAGTACAAGGAATCGAAATGATCATTCTATACTAAAAACAAAACAAATAATTTCATTGTTTGCATTGATCACATCCAGCTTGTCAGGAAGGGAGGGATAACATATTCTCTGACTTCCATCATGCATGCATCACTCCATTTATTCATGAACTGGCAATAAGGGACTTCTGTTGGTCATACTTCGTCCAGCGGGGTGTTGATCGCTCGCACCACCTTCTCAATAGGAGTTTGTTTCAGGTAAAACAAACCTCAACATTTCTCCTGTATTGCGTAAAATTTTGCTCGACTTACAGACCTCTGATCAAAAATTTCACCTTGGATTGAAAAAGCAACAAGTTATGAACATTCTATAAAAATTTCAGATTGCTCCAATGGTTGACAAAGCTAGAATCATTATTTTTTCAAAGCTGCACAGCCTTAAATAAAAATTCCCTATTTCTATTTTTATTACTTTACCCTTCATTGGTAGTGGTGCGGACGGTGGCGGCAGCGATGGTAGATCCAGTGGCAGCAGCGACGGTAGGTCCGACGGCAGCGTTCAGCAAGGCGATCAAGGCTTTTGCTATGTCTGTCATAGAGGAAAGTTGGTTTATAGTGGAGCAGAGTTGACCATTGGTAGTGCTTCAATGGATTTATATCACTTACAAAGATAAAACAGCTTATATCATTTAGAAACAATACCACCATCAAGAGGTCGACGAACATGGAGAGAGTACAGTAATCGGTGAAAGATGAGAGGAAAATCTCTGAATTATAGTGTGTAAGCTTATGTGTAAAAACTTTTATATTAGGGTTCATACTTATTTATTGGTTCTCCAGTTAACAAACTTTAGGGATTCTCACTTAACAAGATCCAAAAGATTTAGGTACAACCAAATAAAAAATTATATCTTACAAGATGTGATATCAATATTTAGATATAGAAATCATTCATAAAATGTCTTATAGATTTAATGTAAATAGAGTTTTTTCGGACTTTTCTATCCTATCGGTGAACTTATTGACTCAGTCCAACATTCGATCCCAGTTCGCAGTTCAGTTAGGCACATAAATTATGTGAAATGAATAATCATCTTTTACCAATCATCTCATTTATTTCTCATTTTATCACTACGTGATATTTTGAATTCTCAAAATAGAAATTCCTACAATAAAAAGATTAAAAATCAATTAATCAAACTAATTAAATTACAAAAGATAAAATAAATTACTAAAGAAAAATACTAAACAATATATGAAATTTATTAAATCAAATTATTTTGGACTACCGGAAAAAACACGTTCCACCTACCCACTCGGGCCTAGTCTTAACCTACTCATAACTTTTCAAAGTCTTTATAGATTATATATTATTGTAATATTCATTGTATTTGGTGACTATTGTTGTATTTCCTATGCATGTGTTTGCTTTGTGAGATTGTTAGAAATGAAATTTTTTTTTATGCTAGAGGAATAGAGAATTATGTTGTGAATTTAAAAATAATGAATATATGTATTGTATTAATTTTTTGGGAAATATAAAAAGAAATAATAGAAAGAACAATGATTTTATATGATATTTAATATTTCCTATGTTGCAAGACCGAGTTTATATTTTAGCACAAATATTTATATAAATCAATAATAATTGATTTTTTTATAGTACAAAAATTATAGTGTTTGGTTTAGGTTTGAAAATGAGTTTTTTATTTAAGTTTTAATTTAAATAGTATTTGTGTATAATATTTTATAAAATTTAAGGCTGAATTACACAAAATTCAACTATGGTTTCATGAAATTGCACCAAATCCCCTATACTTTTAAAACTGCGTCAAACTCCCTCGTGGTTTCATAAACTTTACATCTAACCCCCTCAACAGTCTTTATTTAACGATATTTGACTTAAATGCGCTCAAACGGCAAATAAATTTTAGAATCTCAATTTATAAACCCTTAAAATTACAAATATATTTATTTTTTATATATTTAGCCTAAAAATAGTAAAAATAAATACTTTACACCTAAAAAAAATAACTATTTTTTAGTACATTAACTACTTTTTTAAGGGTAAATATAAAATATATATACATTTGTAATTTTAGAGGTTTATAAATTAAGATTCTAAAATTTATTCGCAGTTTGAGCGCATTTAGGTTAAATACTCTTAAATAAAGACCACTTAGGGGGTTAGACGCAAATTTTATAAAACCACGGGGAAGTTTGACGCAGTTTTAGAAGTATAGGGAATTTGGTGCAATTTCATGAAATCACGGATGTATTTTGTGCAATTTAGCTAAAATAATAATATATTTTTATCAGATAAAATTTGGGTTTGTCTATTTTTTATTTCAAATAAAAAAAAATTATTATTCTAATCAAATATCAAATCAAAATATTATTTAAGTTATAATTTTTTTTTAAAAAAAAATCAATAGAAAACCAAACACACTCTTGGTTTTGAAACCAAAACCAAACAAACACCAATGCGATTTTAGTTTTGGGTTTGAATTTTGAATAGAAATCATCGAATTGCAATAGTTATTTGATATAATAAAATATGTATTGATATTATATTTTGAATGTAAATTAAATTTTAGTATAATATAATAAATAAATATGTGATTTAATATTTTCAGAAAAAAAAATGGAATTATTAAATTGGACCAAAAATTCCACAAACAAGCATGTGTATTTTGTTACGAGATGAAGTTTGAATTTTAAAGTTGTCTTTATTTTTTTTTTTCTTAATTTTTTTTTTTAAATAAGAATTGTAAGATACTATTTGAGTAATTTTTGTTAGCTTATATATATTACTACTACATTCATTTGTATTATTATTTATTTGTATTATTATTATTGTATTTTTTATGTTTGCATTGTTATTAGTTTAGGCCCAAATCTATCTTGAATGTATATTGTATCTATATTCATTTGAGGTTAATATAATTCATAATTGTTGATGTAATTTTTCAACAAAAATAAAGTAAAATTCAAAGATATAGAAAATATCCTTAAACTTGATTAATTAGTGCCTGAGATTAGGAATCTCTAAACACTGTATGGTACAGAAAATAAACTGGAAAATAAAAGACTGAAATTTAAAGTGGTGATCCCCAAATCTGACTTTGCTTTGTTGAAGTTGATTGAAGATACCTTGCCAAATGATTATCCAAACCTTTAAATATTCTCTGGGAAACTGTGCTGAAAACCGTCGCCCGAACGGTTACAACGTCTCCTTCCCAACCGTCTTCCAATCCTTCTCCTGCTGACACGTGTCCTCAGCAGACCACAATTATCCCTATAATCCACTCTTTGAGCGGACTATAGACCTTCCGCCCTTTTGGCCCGACTGCCAATCTACAACCGCATTGGCCCGACTACCAATCCTCCCGACTTGCAAATCATCTGACTTATTCAGAGTAGCTACAGACATCCCGACTAACAAACCACCCGATTTGTTGGTCCTGCCGCAGAGTTCCGATTTGAGAACTTCCCGTCCTGAAGGCTTCCCGACCTACGGATTTCCCGTCTTGAGGGCCTCCCGACCTGCGGACTTCCCGTCCTGATGACTTTCCATCTTGAGGACCTCCCGACCTGAAAACCTTCCGTCCTGAGGTCTTTCCGTCTTGAGGACCTCCCGACCTGAAAACCTTCCGTCCTGAGGTCTTTCCGTCTTGAGGACCTCCCGACCTGAAAACCTTCCGACCTGAGGTCTTTCCGTCTTGAGGACCTACCGACCTGAGGTCCTTCCGTCCTGATGACTTTCTGTCTTGAGGACCTCCCGACCCGAAGACCTTCCGTCCTGAGGTCTTTCCGTCTTGAGGACCTCCCGACCTGAAGACCTTCCGACCTGAGGTCTTTCCGTCTTGAGGACCTACCGACCTGCGGTCCTTCCGTCCTGATGACTTCCTTCTTGAGGACCTCCCGACCTGAAAACCTCCCGACCTGAGGTCTTTCCGTCTTGAGGACCTACCGACCTGAGGTCCTTCCGTCCTGAAATCTTTCCGCCCTGAGGACTTTCCGTAAAAAATAAAACCTATTTCGCTTGATTTTCTCACGATGTCCTTCAGCCAGTTCAATCAACTTTATTGCCAGGCCCATTCTTCTTTTTACCTTGGGCTTTTAACCTAATTCTAAATTTCGTACGTAACAACTTGCCCGCCGCCAAGGGACTTTCAAACGCCATTTAACAATCAATGTTTGGAAGTTCATAAATCACTACCTTCTTGAAAAATTCCCTTAGCAACTGCACCAGTTACTGCAACACTCCTGAGTAACTTCCTTCTCCGCAATACAAGCTTTTGTGAATCACAACCCCAAAACACTTTAACCATGGCGAATCAATACATTCCTGCCCTTCCTTTCGACGGAAACCTCCCAGAGGGCCCATTTTCAGCCTCGAAAGTACTAACTCCGATGATCCGCCCATATTGCACTACTCCTGAAGATTCAAATCGGATGAGGGAAGTTTTGGAATCCCGAAAGTCCTTGGCTATCAACAACCCTAACTACCAAGCAGTTCGCATTCGAGACAGCATCAAAACCCATCTCACGGACCCAAAAGATCCTTACCGCACTTGGTATCGACGGGTAGCAGAACACTTTCAGACCCAATGGCGATCTCAAAAAATCGACCAAGCAATACTATTATCCACCCTGCCTATCAACCTGCATGAGAAGGTGCTTTTGGCCATGTCTGCCTTCTGGAATGCGGAAAATGGGACTTTCCTCTTACCATCGGGTCCCTTTGGTCCAACTCTTATGGATGTGGCAATGATCGCGCATCTCCCAGTCGTGGGTGAAGACCCTGTGATGGGAGCCCTAGATGGGCAGGAGCCATCAGAAAACCATCCAGGGTGGTCTTTACAAGGTGTGAAGGAATGGGGTTGGACAAAGTTCGCAACCGACCAGCAAGGGGCTCCAGGGACCCCCGTGACCGACCGGGAGCATACTGCCTTTATCCTTTTTTGGCTTTGTAGGTACGTCATTGTTTCCCCTTCCAAATGTGTTCTTCCTTCTCATCTCGACCTGGCCATTCATATCGCGTCAGGTCGGTTCTTTTCCCTTGGCACCCTGTTTTTAGCCAATCTGTTTGAAGGACTTACTAGAGTTAGCCTTCGTCTGACAGATAATGATAGTAGAAAATTAGACACTGCCGCATCGGGTCCTTTTTGGTTTTTAGAACTTTGGTTCCGTCTTTACTTCCCCAACGCGTTCAACTTAGGATCTCCGCCCACTATGCCAACATCTGAAAAACATTTGGGATTAGCCCTCAACCGACTCTGCTCAGGACGCAATAAACTCCAATCTTCCGATCCAATAATAACCGCAATTGTAACGGATACCCGCAGTAACTCTCGATTTTCTATGTATAAAAAATATGCGGGTTATGCTCCCGACCATTTCTGGCCCTTTCCGGCACCAAATCCTCTTCCGACTCCCGAACCTTGTCCTCATCCCACTTATTCTTTTGCCTGGGATGTTGCCCTCAAACCCAGGTCTCTTTTTAGCAGCAAAAAACTTGATAAAAAAGGGCAGAAAACCTTTTACACTTTTAATTATGAACCTCAATTCATGGCGCGCCAGTTCGGCTGTTGCCAAGGTATCCCTGGACCCGTCGCTTGTCCGCATATAATTTTTCAAAGTCCTGACCGACGAGTCCTACCTAATTCAATCCCTTCTTATATCTCCCAGCTCACCACGTACATAATTTCCAATTCATATATTCCTTTCCGCTCCAACCCTGAGACTGTAGATACATTCAATGAATGGTGGTCGGTTGTATGGTCCCTGATTTCCCCTGATGAGGATCGGTTGTTGAACACACTCCTTCCCCCCCAAGGATTGGTTCTAGGGGCGGCTAGACATACTAGCACTCAACAACAATCAGCCGCCCCGGGAATCGGATCTAGTGTTCCCATGCGAAAAAGGAAAGCGTCCCAGCTGCAAACACCCCCGACCTCTGGGGCC